AGCAATGAGCATGAAACTGAGCAAACTCAGGGAGGCAGTGAAGGACAGGAAGGCCTGGCGCAATATGGTTCATGGGGTCACGAAGAGTCGGACACGACTTAACGACTAAACAACAACAACAACGAACATCAAATTATGAGAAAACTATGGGAAAACAGCTTGTCTTTTGTTGAAATGTTGAGGAATGGTTTAACAAACCATTTAACAAACATGATAAAAATAAGTTATAAATTGGTATTATGTCCCAATGTGACTAAGGCGACTAAATAGCAACATTGTGATGTTTGGATAAGGAGACATATCAGAAATCTTGATTTTGTCATAAAAAAGCTCAGAGGGACAGATTATTTGCTGAAAGTTTGATGCTATCAACGTCAGTGGAAAAAGCATTTCAAATAAAGGCCTTTCAGGATTAACTCATCTCACTAAATATAACCCAGTTCTTAAATTTCAAATTGTGAAGCCTGTCTAGACCATATCCCCTCTTAGATTTTTTTTTCACTTGAAAAAATTTGTTGTATTTCTTCCTCATTTGTGGGGATGTTATTAGCCTCATTTTTCCACCAATTTTTATCAACAACCTAATTTAATTTAACCACAGCATTTGGCATCAGCTTTAAAATCATCTGCACTCCTCACTTGTCCAATTAAATTCCAGAACACAAGAAAATAAGAATCTGAATCCATAATCTATTTTCAAATTAAAATATCCCTATCTGATTTGGATCAGAATGTCCAAATGTTTTTCAACCTGAGAAAAACAGTACTGTATTTCTCCTTTTCCAGCTATTAAAAATTATATTATACACATTTTACTGTTATCATTGATTACACATTTTTCTATCAAATTTTTATCTATTATACATTATAAAACAGCACTAGATAATTTTATTTTCCATTAATTAAAATTACATGTATCTGTATATTATCAGGATAATAGCCTATGTTTTCATAATAAAATCTCCTCTGATTTCTTCATACTGACAACTTTCAGAAACTTCTATCTTCTGCCTAACCTACTCAGACACGATGACTTAAAACTGAGTAGCAAAGCTTGCCTAAGGCCATCAGACAAATTACTGTCTTGACTGACATCTGAACTGGGTCCTAGTTCAAATGTCATGTTGTCTGCTATATTAAATCAAAATAACATGATTTCAAGAATGCTGCAGAGGTATTGCATCTCCTAAATTCTATAATATTCAGGAAAAACAAAACCCTTATATGGTAATATTGAAGAGTATCTAAATAGAACAAAGAGAGTCAAAATTCTTATTCCCTAAAGATGAAGAAACAGGAGGAGGCAGGGGGGACCTAAACTGCTTGGGGGGTAGGGGAATGAAAAAAATTCCCAAACACTTACCGTGCTAAATTAAAAATATCTACCAGTTTTCTTCCCAGAGGTTTAGCATCTTTAAAACCTTCCGAATATAATATCACTTCTGCAATTAGCTCATTATCAGGACGAGTCATAGCAACTGGTCTAAAAAGCTGTTTGAGATTGTCAGGCAATTTCTGTCTGCCTCCATAGCCTTTCCCAGCAGGATTCATGGTGATAAAAATTCCAGAATTATGATCCATTTCTACCTGATATTTAAATATATATAAATCTTCAGTATAAACTCAATAGCCTATACAAACCATGAAATAGGAACCTAACATTCTATGTAAACCCTGAAGCATGCTAAATATTTTATTATATTACATTATAAGCATCTGAAAGACATTCAAATGGCTGGCATTTTTCCATATATTCTCATTCACCTTTTGCCAATATGACGATACAGAGCACTCCAATCTTAAGTCATTTCTTGGCTTTGTCCTGTGAGGTATCAGTCCCTAACTCAAGCCAAATACTAAGGGGACAACTGCTTTGATCTAAAGAGACTGATGACAGACTTTAAACTCTTTTATTACTTTATGTAATTCCAGCAAACTTGCATTTACAAAAAATATATCAAAAAAATTCCAATTAATAAAATCCTTAGAATTATAACTTATCTGAAGTTAGAACAGATGTTTAAACACTTTTTATTTCTAATGCATAGCAAGGATCCACAAGTTTAAAAGACAGGTGGATCTTGAGGCTAACTCCTTCACACATGAAGCTAAGACAGATGTTTTCCAGTTATTAAGAAGGTGTTCAACCTAAGGTGTCCAGTTACTTTAGAAGGTGTTCAACCTAAGTTTCTGAAAGTCATACTCCATCTCCCACACTCATCTTCAAATCCCCGTGCCCAGCGAGAGCTTGGTTGCATTTCTCTTGGGCCCTGTCTGAGAAATTATTTGGGGGAAGTCTCTGATTCACCTCACCCTACTGGATAGGTTTTCCTGATCCTGAGGTTACACTGCAGCAAACAAACAAAGAAAGAAAGAAATATCATAAGAGTTTAAGATTTTGTACCTCTTTTCCAAGTAATTCACAAACAGGTTGGTGTTTCTTCAAAGCATGTTGAATTGTCTGAATCTGCATAGATACAGCAGAGAGTACAGCTTCCTCCAGACGATTGAACTCATCAAAACAGCCCCAGGCTCCACATTTCACCAAACCAACAAATATTCGCCCCATTGATTTCACATCAATGCCCTTAAAATAAGCAAGGAATGTTACTTCAGATACATGATATATAACATTCCTTTTCCTAAATAAAAAAAATGTAATGATCTATAAAATTTTGTAACAAAAGTAACAATGCCTTAGGGAGGTGAAATGGGGCTTATTTAAACATTGCAGGGAGCAGATTTTTGGGCTTGCAGTTTCTGCTTTTTTTACAATATGAACACTGAAGTCTTGGATTCTTTTTAAAAAATAATTTATAAAGAAAATTAGAAAAGGAATTAAAAAAAGGAAATACTTCACATTGAAAGCATTCACTCCTGATCTCATCCATTACAGATGTTGAGGTGGAAAGAGAAATGAAATCTGAATAAACTTAACAATTTGATAAATATTTCTATTTATTTATTCAGGATATGTTTTTTGCTTTCTGCCTCATAACTTTAACGGGATTACAAGGAGAACAATCACCATCTTCATCATCATCTCTTCCCTTAACATGCTCAATGTGCTGATTTATATCCAATTTCAGCCAAAAAAGCTCTGGCCACACCAGTATATAACTTAAACCAGGACTCATTCACTCATTCACTCAATCATTCATTCATTTTGCAAATTTATATGGCCATTCATCTTAATCAAATAATTCTGGGCAGCTAAGAAAGCATATGTGGACTTTGAAGAAGCAGGATAGGAAGAGTACTAATGCTTTTGAACTTTGGTGTTGGAGAAGACTCTTCAGAATACCATGGACAGCCAGGAAAACAAATAGAACAAATCAACCCAGAGTTCTCAGTCAAGGCACAATGACCAGGTTCAGATTATCCTACTTCAGACACATTATGTGAAGATCCAGCTCTCTGGAGAAGGCTCTAATGCTGGGAAGTTGTTAAGAGTCAACAACTTGATGGCACATAATCGATCAACAAAGCATATTAATCTTCTTCATATGACACTTAGAATTGTGTTGATATACTTTACTTCACCTCATCACAGTTAAACACCAAAACTTGTCTCCCAAGTAAACCTCCTAGAGCCTTTACAGATTCTGTCTTGCCAGTTCCAGCTGGGCCATAAGGATTTCCTCCAAGGCCCATCTTCATAGCTTGAGTAAGCGTAAAGTAACACTTGTCAGTTAATGGTGTATAAACAAGCTTTGGTGAATTCCCCTAAAAATTTAAAACCAATAAAACATGATGAAATTTATGAAGTCAACCTAATTGTCCAAATTTACACTAGCAATAAAAGTGAACTCCAAATTAGTAAATAGCTATATATTTCAAGAATGCTAAAAACCATGCAAATATTCAAAAACTCAAACTTTTGCAACTTTCTTGAATTACCTACAAAAGCATTATGTGGAACATACAGGAAATATGTTATTAAAAGAGACTTTGGGGCCAAACTAAATACAACATGTATACATTTGTCTGTTAAAAAACATTTGCCTCAAAGGTTACAAAATTGAATAACTTGCAAGCTTGTCTGTTTGTTTGTTTAAAACTGCCTGCAGAGATAGTGTGTGCCAGATCAAGAGAGTAATACAGGAGAGGCTTTCATCCTTGGCCTTCATCACAATTGCTCCTTTCTTCCTTAAGCCCACTATTTGCAATGCAAGGACCTACTAATGGATGCTTTGTGAGAAGAGGGGATTCCTATTAGAATTGTGAAAGTGATTTAAGATCAGACGGTTAGTTTCCAGCAAACCAAAGTTCATATCTAGCCCAGGCCCCAAGCTCTAGGGATTTTTTTTCCTATTAAAATTAGCCACAAAAAGATAAATCATATTATTTGTTCTATAATCTTCAAAACAACGTTACAATACAGACACAAGCATGTGAAAGAACTAAAAAATTAGAACTCTAAAAAAGGACAATATCTGATACACAGAATTCCAAGAGAATCACATGGAATGGAAATGCATTCATTTTATTAATGCTAAGACTACAAATTCCAGATATTAAGAAGGTTTTGAATTGTTTCTATAAAGCAAGAACCACCATGCCACATGGAAAACAGATTCTGAAACCAAGGGGAATATCAAGATCAATCTGAAGTCTGTTATTGAAGAAAACATAAAAAATCCCATTATAGCAATAAAAATGTTCTTAGAATCTTGATCAATTATCTCAGCTATATATTCATTTATTTATAATTCGAGTTGATGGGAGCTATATTTTATCAAGTCATACTTTAGAAGGAAAAAAAAATGTTTACCACAACCAAGAAGTTTCAATAATAGAAAACCAGGCAGTTTTTCCCTCTTCTTTTTGCCTGTTACACCTACAGTATAATTCTACATGTCTACTCAGAAATAAACTCTACAATGGAAAATGGACTTACTTCAGGCAATTGCTTGTAGGACTGCAATTTTAAACTACTGCTGATTAAAACAATTTGTGTGCTTTTGTATATTTAGTGGATACTAATATGAGCAGTAGAATGAAAGAATAAGGCATAATTTGTACTAAAATTAGAATACCTGATATTCATAAGTGTACTGTAGTTCAGCATCCACCATTTGAATATAACATTTTTTATCCTTAAGATAAAATCTGAGTTGCTTCTTCCAGGCCCAGTCATCAGTACTACGGACCTGAGCCTCATTCAACTGTTGTACAATATCAATATTATGAATAACATCCAAAATTAGGGCTTTAAGCTTTAACTCAAGGATTCCAGATTCTGAAAAAATATATTACAGTTTAAAATAAGCTTCATTTATATGGTTTCACCCATTATAGTTTTACCATAAGCTTAGAAATGAAAAGTAATAACAAAAAGGATAACACTAGCATATGTTGATAGTTATCCAGCGGTAATTCTAACAGTATAAAAGACAACTAGCACACATAGTTTTCTGAGAATTTAAAATTGAAAGATATTATAGAGTGAAGTTTGTAATGTATCATTTGCACAGAAGGGCAGGATAAAAATTGAATAATTAAATAAAAACAAAGATATGAGAAATACTCAATTCAAATGAATTGGAGGCTCAACCAGAACTCCAGGGGTATATTATTTTACCATTTTTCCAACCATGTGAGGTAGAAGGTTTTACCCTTTAGTTTCCAAATTATGCTTTACAGTTTTATATCATGTCTGAAACTGGCTACTGTGGGTCAGTAAACAAACCATGGTGAACAAAACTGTGGATTAACATAATATGTAAATTCTCTTGTAGTCAATAAAATAAATCACAATATTTAGTTAGTTAGTTAAAGCATTGACAGACTACCCAACTCAGACAAGGTGACTTTGGGTGGCATATAAAAGAAAGGAAAAAAAGAAAGAAAATCAAAACCAACAAATACAAAAAACAGTTCATATCATTAAAACCAAGTAGAAATAAATGGCAAACATAACTGAGGTATACTGTAACTCCTGAACATGGGGACTCTATTCATTCTGGCCTAAAGGTCCAGGGGAAGAGCCAGGTCTTAACTGCCTTCCTAAACACCTGCAGGATTGGAGCCAACTGTACGTCAGGAGGAAGATTGTTCCAAACAGCAAGAGGTCACACTGAGTATGCTATTAGGATGATTTAAAAAGTCAGTATCAAGCATGTGAAATTATTTTGATAAATTATACCTGTTATCTTCTTCCATACCTGCATTGCCTGGGTCTTCTATATTAGTATCTATACTGGTATAATGTTCCAATTTAGCCATTAGTTCTAATTCTATCTGTTGCAAATTACATTCTTTGATTGCATACTCAACATCTTCTGTGAATTGAATTTGTTCAGCCAAACACAGAATCTATTGGGAAAACAGTATGCATAAACAAGAACAATAGTACTCCATGATGGCTATTTAAAGAAATCATACTATCTCATTTAGTTTTAACCTAACAGCAAATCCACAATACTGTCCTGCTGAAACTGTAATAGGAAACAGGTCATCAAGCAGCTGATAAATCATCTATACTATATGAATACAGAAAGCTATAATAATCTGAATGTTTAAAAGCAATGATGATCCAAGAGTTCAGAGCATAGATTAAGCTGCTAATGATTTGTGCCTCTGACAGAATAGGTTAAGCACAATCAACAAATGGCCACATTATGCTGTACCTTCCAAATGACATACAAATACAAGATATATCTACGACATGAAGATCTACAGCTTGCACTGCAAGGAACTGGCTAGAGCAAATGCAATATTTTTATCCTGAAACAGAATAGCCCAGACTTGTAGTACTTGGCTAAAAGGTATTGTAGTTGTTGAGCACTCTACAATATTATTTCATGGATAGCTCAGTTTAACTATTGGGATGGTTCCAGACTGAATTAAAACCATTAAAATCAATGTGATTTCAGTTAGTCAAGATTAACATAAATCTATTGATTTCAATGGGTATACTCTGATTTATTTTGGATCCAAATTTAATTCAAAGGATTGCATGCAAGATGGTCTGTTAGTCACTAGAACAAAGTTCCCTCAGAGAAAGGATTCTCCTCTTTACCACAATCTTCAGCATACAGTATATCCCAAAGATTTAGTGGCGGTTGCAGCAATGCAAATGGCTTGAGAAATGGGGATAAGTGCAAAGGAAAGCACATTTGTGTGATGTTTCATGTAGTCCAAACTGCAAACAAACTTTATTTCTTTTCAGATCAACTATTCGATAGATATATTCAAAGTATGATTTATTCTGGATTCAAATTTAATTCTACCGAATAGTTGAGCTAAAAATTAATAAGCAAATACTACCATATACACAAAATCCTTCTTGCTTGCAAAACTGTAATATTGTTTTTGCATAGAAAGAAATCAACTTACCTGTGACGGGAAAAGTGATGGATCAATTGAACCCTGTAATCTTTTCCCAGTGGTTACACAGTCAATCAACAGTTGTTTTAATGTCTCCTTCATCTCTAAAGATAATTTGTTCAGCCATACCTAGCAAATAATATATCAAGGAAACATAATAAACCATGTTAACACACTTAATTTCTACAGGTGGGAAATTGGGGAAGCTTACTTTCTTACCTCAACATCATTGGATAGTAGAATTTTATTTTTGAAAGGTACAGTTTCACCTTCTAAAGATTTCATTGCAATAATGTTTTTAAAATCTTCATCAAAGCTTACACTGTGAATTCCTGTTAGGTAATGGAATAAGATAACATTGATTAGTTTAATGTAGGAATGTGTAAAACCTTCTCTGTACAGATGGGTGGTCCATGTCTGAACCTGTTCCTATATAGAACAAAACTGTTCTGGATATGGGCTGAAATTAAGTAGTTCTGGACAGAAGAGATTTGAGGTGAGGATGAGAGTGCAAAAAGGCTGAAGACATCAGTTGCAGCAGCTGAAAAGAGAGAAGGGAAGGCACCGAGAAGATCAGAGGTGGGAAGTCTCATGGGATATTACAATGGGAACCTGATCTATACTTCTGAGTCCACAATAAGGAACAGGCATGTAGACCAATTCATCTATTAGCACCTATTCTTTGGAATCAACTTCCCTTGGAATAATGCCTAGGGACTGACCTCCTGAAGTTTAAAAAAGGAATTAAAATGCTTCTTTTTTCCACACCTTTATGAGGTTTAAAGAATTATGGTTGTAGTATTTGATTGTTACATAATTTATTTGATTATATTGCATTGTGATTTGTATTGTTGCTGTATTGTGCTTACCTATAAGCACATAATAAATAAAAGCACAATTACTGAGTGATATAATTTCCCTATTTGTCCTGTAAATCAGGGTTTTGGTTTGACTGAAACAAGGAACAATTAAATATTCAAATTTTATGTCTGTTATACAGATGCTAATCTGAAACAGTTTAGCAGAAGTTCTGCAATGTGATAATACCTATATTCTGTTTTATGCACATCCCTAATATAGTTATATCACTTTTTTACACAAGTACAAAGTTGGATTACAATATGCTAGTTTAAAAGTGGAAATTCATTTGAAGTCAAATTAAAGCATTGGTTTTGGTACAATTTGTTTTTGGAAGCCTATGCATTCATAGGTTTGCATCCAACATAACAGAAGCCAATTTTGCACACATTACTGTTCCGCCATGTATGTTTCAGATCTGTTATGGAGATCCCTGCCATCATCCAGAATTGTTATGGGAGAGGACTGCAGAACATTATCTGCCAATGAAATTAAAGTATTGGCCACAACTCATCATCCATTGGAAATGACATAATAATTACATGTATAAAGAAATGAAAACAGGATTTTTTAAAGCTGGACTCATAAAAAATTATTTTAGCTTATCTGTAAAAAGATTTCAATTTACATTTTTCCCATTGCCATATGTATTACTAAAAAAGAATATAGGAACATTTTTGTTACTCTTTCAAGGGAAATCTATTATAACCAAAATCTTTCATTGTCAGAAACCACTTTGCAGAGGGTTGGACTAGATGGTGCTTGTGGTCCATTCCAACTGTACAATTCTTCTTTACAATTCTTACCAGCAAATAGCTTCTTCAGATGAGACTGGATGACTAATGGATTAGTAGACTGACCCAAGATTTCCAGAAGATCATCATCTCCAATGAAATAAAATCTAGGGAATGCAGAACGCTTTTCCTGTTTAAAAATAAATAAATTCAGTCTGCCTCTTCAAGAGAGTATAGTGATAATTTTTGAACCTGCTACACTAATGATATAACTCATATCTTTCCAAAAATGAAATCAGGAATAGCTGTGAACTGAAACATCTCTAAGCTTCGCACCAAAAAAGATTAACTAAGTCTTCCTCTATCCCTTGCTTATTTTTCAAAAATGAAATGAAATGAAATGAAATGAAATGAAATAAAATAGACATTTAATGGTCAAAGAACTTTGGAAATGAAAAACAAACATAAAAAATAAGAAAACAATATAACTTGAAAGCTCCTGGATGTTAGGATTGTGTAGCACTTCCGCTTCAGAGTGGTTATAATCCTGGGTAATGACACACCTGCTTTAAGATGTTGCAGACAGATGCTATATTTGCACTCCCACATGAATGTATGCATATGCATAAACACAAATGTTTGTTATCTTAAGGAGAGATACAGAATTTTAAACATCCATATTGAAAATTTTATCCCAAAACTCAATTGTATGGAGAAAGAGAATCTATTAGGAATTATTTCACGAATGTCTCCAAAAATAGAAACCAAATGTGAATATCTCTAAAGTATTATTTAAGATCCTTTGTTGCTGTATTAACATTTAGCAATGCTATTTCTCACATTTTAAATAACATTAATCTAAAGAAAGATGTGCTTAGAATGTTCTTGTATTTTGCTGTGGTAAATTTATCAGCTAGCAAGAAAACTGAATTAAATACTTGTGTTGCACCATTTTATATGTCTTAGAGAAAAACTGACAACAAAGACATGCTAGCATTTCTATTAAAGACTGTTACTGTCAAAATTAATAACTAAATATGAATACTGCCACTACAAATGGCAATATCAATCAGTTTGATTACAAAGCCTCCAACAATCTAGAAGGACTTTGATTAATACAATGAAATTTAAGGGGGGGGTGTTTAGTACCATTTATAATTATTTTTAATCCATTGTTCATGACTTGCTGCAACAGATTTAAAATGAACGTTACACTATAAAGTGTTCCAAGATGATTTTACAAGTTTAAATCCCAAGTCCTGTTTACATACTTTTTAGAGAATTTCTCGAAAGGTTAATATCTTTGACATAAGAGTTTTATCTTATTAAAGAGGTTCATCTGATTTTTAAATGATGTGTATATATATCATTCAAACATTATTAATGTTCTTGATTGGTAAATTCTCATGAATGTAAGCAATTACATCTGTCTCATTTGAAACCAAGTTGAAATTTATGACCAAATTTTCTATAGAATATTTTCAGGAGAAACAGATTTTTTATCACTATCAAGTGTCTAATAATAGGAAGTTGCATAAAGATGCATGAACACACCTGCGTGAAGCACATATATTTAAAATTTAGGTGATTGAAGAATGGTAGAATGTGCACAGGATGGGTTGAAAACTATTCTCCTTTTCCAGACTTGGAATATAAGTTTAAAATATGGATTTATGGGGAAAAAAAAGTCTCACTATCAAGGAAGAATCACATTGCTGTAACACACTGAGAAACCAGCAACTTGTATGCAGGGTACCTCTTTCAAAATTACAGGAATGTTTTAAATGAAATGTATACAATATGATCTCCCTATTCTCAGTTTTTTTATAATTATGTATAAATAACTCTTTCTCATGTATGAAAGCAAATAACTGTTAACAGAAATAGAGGTTTCTGAAGCGGAAATAGAAGTATTAAAAAGAATATTATCCTAAACAATAGTAAGTAAAATTTAACCTTTTAGAACAGGACTATAATTAAATTTCATTTAATTGGTGCCAATCTTGTGAAATAATTCCTCTATAATATCAGAATCCACAAGGACTAATACGATGGCCAGAAGTGTCTTGAAAGCATTTTTGTGACTCTATCAGTACTGATTGCTGCATACAATTCATCAAAGTTGATTTCTATTCCTGCTATTCTATTAAATTTATTCAATTAAAAGTGTAACCAAATTGTAGCTCCATTAGAATTTTGAAGAAAAATAAAAAATCTGCAAATGATTTATTACATGGTATGTTGATTTTATATTAAGACCTTGAACATAGTTATTCCTCCTAACATTCTATGGAAATATTTTTGCAATTAGATTAATCAGGGAAAAATAGTAATTTTTGTTTAAAAACAATTTGCATTTGTCCTATCAATAATAATTACTGTTTGTGCTGGTGAACATAACTGATGGATTATATTTATAAATGTTTGTCTAAATCCCATTTCCACTAGAATCTTTTAAGAAACTTGCATACCGCTCTATCAAATATTTTGGATTTTTCAAAGATAGCAAAGTAAGTGGACTTTTAATGTGTTTATATTGATTGATTTACTTGCATTTTTGGAGTGAACAAACACATATTCATTAGGGGATATATAATTACTTATCACATAATTATACACTTCGATGAAACAGGTGTTGGCTTGTCTCCCTGAGCAAATAATCACAAGTGAACAGTGATTCTGGAATAAAATCTACTGACATCAAAGTTCATAGTTATCCACAAAAGTATGGAACAAACAGATACCAGGTTAAATAGGATAGAACATTAAACTATATTTAACCAACACTGCACAAACTTGCACAGGCCTTGTCCTTATTCATTCTCCCTTCCTCTCTAGCATTGTCATGATAATATAAGGATCTTTTTCCATTTTTCAAAGTAAAGAACTCCCAATGACATCTGTATTCAGGGAAATTCATTTTAATTTAAGCTATGGTTAGAAACCAAGCAAAATTGGAAACTATGATATAATCTTATCTCAACAAACCACAGTTCGAATTAACCAGGATTCCTGAGTTCAGATAAAACAGAGAACTTCAACCTATTTTAACCTTGTCCACAAATCTTATGCTGTTTCACCAGAGAGAACTACCTGAAAAAAGAGCATGTTCCCAGTAAGCAGTCAGTTGGAATGTACATAATATAGAATGTGGCAACACATTCCAATGTATAAATTAGTTTTTCTATTGAAGATTCTAGCCAGCTGTGCCCTCTTTCACTACACCATTTCATTCCTTCCAGCAGAAATCTTCCTTTGTTTTCTAATATTCAACATACTTCAGCAATTGTGAAGTGAGAAGTGATAACCGGACTATCCCTTTCCCCTTTGGAGTTGGTTGTTGTTTTTCTTCTACAGGCCTTTCTGTACTGCTGCAATCTTTGTGGCACTGAAAACTCCCCTTCTATCAAAGTTTATCATCTGAGTTCACTATTAAATGGAGTGATAAGAAATATTTACCTCCAAGAATTCGTTTAAAGATTTTTGACATCTCTGAAGCTGGTCAAGGATAGTAATTAAGGCAGTCCTTATTCCTGCTCGAGTATTCAAAGAAATTACACGGTTATCTTGTTTGATATCTGCCAGTATTGATCTTTAAAAGGAAACAACATGGTGTGAAGGTAGGCTGTTTTCTGTTCTTTAGTTTAATAATGGACAAATATTAACAAATAACTAATGACAAACAATTAAAACTATTAATGATGACCCAAAATATGAAAATGCAAGAAATTAATTTAAGTTTTACACACAATGCATGCATTTTCTTCTGAGAAATGTATGAGGCAGTTGGATTAAGAGACATAATGAATATTCTCCCCCCAGAGGTGCGGCAAGCCCCTATCCTCCTGGTCTTCTGGAAAGGATTAAAGAACGAGCTCTGCCAGCCTGCATGGGGTGACAACAATCTTACCCAATCCTGCAGGTGGCTGGCACCTTGATTGATGCTCCCTGAGTGATTACCAATTATTCTTGGATTTATTTATTTTCTATTTATTAATAATATATTGTAATTTTGTAATTTTAGTTGATTTTAACTGTTGTGTAAACCACCCAGAGTCATTTCAATGAGATGGGCAGTGACAAATTTGATATATAAATTAATTAATTAATTAATTTTTAAAAAATAAAATGATGTAAAATTAACTGACCTAAAGTCTTCATCTACTCTGTTGAAGCGTGCTTGCTCTCTAGGCAAAGCTCCACGACCAAAAATGGGTTCCAGATATACCCATTTCCTCTGAATTTGATTTAAATTCTGTAGATACTCATCCAGTTCAGCAAGTTTCCTCTCCCAAACAGAAACTTTATCTTGGAAACCTTTGTAGTATGGAGAGTCTTTTAATGACTGAAGTAGACAACGATTGTCACCAACTTGATTGACTATGTCTTTCCAATCCTTAATCAATTTGATCATCCGACTCTGGCTATCTTCATAATCTGTTAATGTAAAGACAGCTCCAGCTCCCCAAAGCTCAAGCTCACGCAAGGCTTCTCTGATGGTGACCTCACCATGAGCCCTGCTGTTCAAATCCTGTTACCAAATATAAATTAACATTTTATTTAAGTTAATGATTTAAATACTAACAGAGATAAATCCAAAGAATGAAGTAATTTCAGACACTGATTTATAAAGCACTGCATTTCCTTCTTAATTAAACATTAGGGTATTACTCATATATTGCTATACCTATTTGTGATATATTTTCAGGGCTCTGAATTAAATGAGTAACAAAACATAACTTTTCATCAAAACAGGAATATAATTCCTATAAGTATTCGTTATTACTATTAATTGTATAATTAATATAATATAATATAACTCCAGGTAATTCCAAAGTAAAAATCTATTGGATGACCTGGAGTGGGCCTTTTGACTTTTAAACCAGCCATTCTGCACTGAATGTGGATTTCATGTTGCACTACTAGCCAAAAAATCTATTCAGATACTCAAATGGTCCTCGTATGGAACTTTTGTTGATTTTAAAAAAAGCAAAGCTGTTCTTATTTCTAGGGCGAAGCTTTGAAACAAACTAAAGGATGTATCAATTGATCAATGCCTATTTATCCTCATGCATGAAGGCAATGGCAAACCACATCCAAAATTTTGCCAAGAAAACTGCAGGAACTTGTCCAGGTAGTCACCAGGAGTCAACAGTGACTTGAAGGTACAGGAAAAAAAAAAAATTAATTGTATAATCATACTAGTTTGAAAAACAGATGCACTACAACAGACAATTTAAATGAGGCAATTCCCCCTTGGAGGATGGTTAAAAAAGGATGTATCCTTGCCCCAAGTCTATACATTTTATAAAAATCTTTAAGTGATTTGGAACATTACTCCGGATGTACATCCAACTACCCTGCAATACTATTTCATGTGGATAAAGCAGTAATCTTACTCCAGTGATTTATTTAGGTTAAGAGAGTGCTGAAAACATTGACTGTTTTCTGCAAAAAACCTCTGCAAAATTATATAGAGAATTATATAGATACTGGTCTTTATGAAAAAGACTAAAAAGCTTTGTCAACCAAGTATCTGCAAATTTTGTAAGCTATAGGTAGGCAAACTGCACACTGCAATTATCTAACTTAAAGTCTTTTTTCTTCACAAAAGAAGCTCACTATATTCCTGCATCTAAAACCAAAACATCATCTCAACTTTTACACCACATACAATTTTAGTTTCTTGTAAGGAGTACTTTGAATTGGGGCAGGTTTAACATACTGTTAAATAAATAAACTTAACCCGTCACAATATTGAAAATTAGTCAGTATGAATTCTTGAGGCAGTTGTTTCAGGTGGAACAATATAATGTAGTTCTTTTTCTGAAGGCAGATTTAACAAGAATAGAACCTTGAACTTGAATTATTACCTTTAATTTTTTATTATTAATTTCTGTCTAGGGGTAGGTTGATTTCACTTTATTTACCTAGTGGTCAAGCTTCTGGTGGCCTAGACACTTAACAATTTTGAGGGATGAAGGCCTCAAAGTGTGTATGAGAGAGAGAAATTGGACAGGAATTTGGGAGAGGCTCTTTCTTTATTAAATGCAATCTGAATATTTTAGGGTTCAAATTGTCTCATCTTTTTTTCCCACCTCAAAATAGGAAGAAATTCTACCATCACTTTTCAGCAACCCAAGTAGTAGAGACTCCAAATGTTGCAAAAAGGGAATTAAACGGACACATGCTGCCCTTAGGCCACACGTTGTCTGCTGACTTGGTCGAGATTTTTCATTTCAATTAATATGATAATGGATCCATAAATGAAATACTAAATCTATATAGGTTTTCCCTGGTATCTTTGCTGCCTTTGGGTTATATGCAGGCCAGCTTATACAAAGAATTCTGAGTAAGGAGAAACAGAAGGAAAAAAAGCAAATTTCTAACAAAGTTATATTGGATAATTAATCTTTGTACACCAACCAGCCAAATTACTTTGTCATATGACTTGTTCCCTAATACAAATGAGCAGTGTGAGAACGTTCACTACAAGAGTGTAATGAAATTTCAGTGCCACAAACAGTATTCAGGACAATATGATGAAGATTATAACTTCTTTCTTTATGGAAAAAGAACTGATTTTAATAACTTTATTTAACTTAGTCAATAACTTTGGGGTATTCCTTGTTCTAAACAGAAGCTAGAAATATGCCCGATAATTTCTTCAAATGATTTTATGCATACTGAAAAATAATTTGCACCTTAAGTTCTGCTGCTTTTTCCACAATGACATCTGCCACTTTTAGGAGGTCTCGAAACATCAGATTACCTAAACTAGTACCCCTAGGGAGACCAAGAATGCGAAAGAGATCCAGCCAATGATCTGGTGATAAGTGTTCTCCTTTAACATATTTCAATATAGGAAGGATCATCTGTAACAAAAAAGAGCACACATTAGCAGTTTTTTTTTCTTTTGTAACTATAAATGTATTTTATGTTTAAACAATAAAGGATTATGAAAGTATCACAAGTAACAACCATTTGGAATAGCTACATTCTTGTAGTTGCATTCAGTAGTATATTGAATTTAAAGGGTATTTTTAAATGTATTTCGAAAACAGCTAAATGCCAAATTAAATTCCCATATTTAACACTGAATCCATCATTCAAATCTCACATTAGAGACAGCCATACATTCATCATTACAGTTTTCTCCTCAGTCCCCATTTAATAATACAAGTAGTCTTCACTTAACATCCATTCATTCAGCGACTGTTTGAAGTTACAATGGCGCTGAACAAATGGACTTACAACTGGCCCTCGAAGTTCTGGCTATTACAGCGCCCCCACGATCATGTGAACAAAATTCAGGCCCATTCAGGCCCACCCTCATTTATGACCACCTTTTGGCTAGCCACCTACCTGCTCCCACCAGCTGCCCTTGAGGCCAGGCCCTACCCGCTGCCACATCAGGGCCTTCTTTCATGGCAGTGCACCTGGGGCCTTCTCTCATGTGGTGGCCAGGGCTTCTCTTGCATGCTGGCCAGGGCCTCCTTTCACACACCGGCCAGGGCCTCTGTTCATGCGCCAGCTAGGGCCTCCACTCATGAAAGAAAGACCCAGCCAGCACATGAAAGAAGCCCCCGCCTACGCTGGCACAAAAGAAGGACAATGCTAGCAGGGGCCTTCTTTTGCACACCAGCCTTCTTTCATGTGCCGAGCTGGTCTTTTGGCTCCTTCTTTCACAAAAGAAAACCCTGGGTGGCGCACGAATAGAGGTCCTGGCCGGCACGAGAAAAGCCCCGGCTGGTGTGTAAGAGAAGGCCCCGGCTGCACCCCAGTGCAAAAGAAGACACCAGCCAGTACAGTAGTGGCACATGATGAGGGGCACATGGTGGCAGGCAGGGCTGGGCGGCAGGGGCAGCTGGTGGCAGTGGGTAGGCAGGTGGCCAAAAGGACAGATATGGGGGGTAAATAGGTGGATGGGGGGAGTTGAAGTGGAGGCAGTCCCTTACCTTTTTCCAAGAATGGCTTAGATCCGGGTGGGTCCTCACCTAATGACCACATGGGATTCATTCAACAACAGCAACTGGGATTGCCAGAACTGCTGTCACTAAGCAAAGCAGTCACAAGACATTTTGTTTAACGACCACATTGCTTAGCGACAGAGATGCCAGTCCCAATTAGGGTTGTTAAGTGAGGACTACCTATATAGGAATAATAATATTAGACCATTTTACAGAGCAATTCCAACAACTGGAGAAATGACAATGTGAAACGCCTTGAACATTTTGAAAGGTTATGTGCTAAAATTAATTGCTGTAATCAAATGCAAAACCTGGTAGGGTTTTCAAAAAATACATAACTTAATGAATTAAATATTGTATACTTTATAAAGATGCCTGTATCAAAACCTTAAGAATATTCTAAACCTTCCAATATTTTCCATTTGTCTTATTTCTCTCACACTATCACTTTACCTTGTATTTATCCACCTCTTTTTGCAACTTCACAGTCATTATTGTGTGTTCTTCAACCTTTCTCAGTTTTTCATGCCAGTTCAACAAAAATTCTTCAAATAGGTAGGTCTTACTCCTGGATAGAATATATATTAAAAGAAATTCATTGTTGGCCAACCAATATTATAATTAAGAACTATGTATAGATAGTCCTCAGGTAATGACAGCAATTGGGACCAGAATTGCCATCGTTGAGCGATGTGGTTGTAAAGCACGACATCACATGCCTGCATCACTTAGCAACAACTACCTCAGTAGTCCCAGTTGTTGTCATAACTCCAAGACGCAAGGATCATTAAGCGGGAAGCAGCAGAAGTCCCAGGGAGCAGAGCGGTGTCATGGGTGAATGCTGCAGGGTGGAGGGAAGGCCCAAAGCAGGCCGCATGCAAGCTGGTGGAGGCTGGTGGAGGGGTGATGCAGCACCACACAAGTGCAGGGAGGCCAGGGGTTGGATGGTACAGTGCTGCAAAAGTGCAGGGAGGCCAGGGAAATGGATGGCATGGCACCACATGAGTGCAGGGAGGCCAGGAGACTTACCAGAGCAACTTGTGACCTTCCCTGCCAGCTTCCCCCTTGACTTTGCTTGTGGGAAGCTTGTAGGGAAGGTCACAAATGGCGATCATGTGACCATAGGGGACTGCAACTGCTGCAAGTGCAAGCCAGTTGCCAAATGCCCTAATTGCAATCGTGTGACCGTGGGGATGGTGCAACGGCCAGAACTTCAAGGACTGGTCGTAAGCACCACTTTTTCAGCACCTTTGCAACTTCTAATGGTCGCTGAATGAGTAGCTGGTAAGTAAGGACTACCTGTAATCTTAAATGTACCTAAATGTAATCCAATCTTCATTGGCTTTTTCTTGAAAACCTTCATAAAATTGTTCATATAATGACCAAACCTCAGCACAGCATTCAATGTCTTTGCGTATTTCATTGGCTAAAGAGAAATCAGGCTCTTCTAATTCAAAGTGACAGCAGTCATTACTGAAGAAAAAGAACACAGTAATGTTACATTGTATGCCAAATAAAAGTTTATATGGAGCTCCCTATCCAGGTATATAAATTTAATAAAATAAAGTAAAATAAAATAAGTATTGATATAGATCAATCAGCAACATCCTGGAATCACAGGAAGAGTGAGAAAATATACCTTCTGTATATGAAAATGTTATTTTCTTATCTTTTTCTTCTATTTTCTTTCAATAGATACATTAATAGATACATTAACATAGTTACTGGAGAACAACCATGGAATATCTCAGGAATAATAGAAAAAGCGAGAAACTGAAAGTAAAGACATTTATAAAATAATGTAATTTGGAATGTGTTACCCAATGTTAAAACAATATTCCTAATGCTGAATCTTCCAACTGTAGGTCAACAGAATGAAAAGGTGTATTTTCCACAGCTGATGCTTTGTATATATCTTGCATGGTAACAGAACAATAAAAAACCACTACAATTGCATCCAGCCTTTCAGTAAGTTCTGATTATTTTACTAATTTGACTATTCCTTTGCCCAGCTAGATGATAGAATATATTTGACTTTGGCTATTCTTAAAAATCTAAGTTGGATTAGACCTTCTTAGTACTTGATGGGAGACCATCAGGAAATATCAAACATCCTGGAAAAAGGCCATGGCAAACCACTACTATATGGTCACAAAAATGATTACAAGCACCTGTCCATGAAATCACCAAGAGTCAACTGTGACTTGAAAATTTTATCCTTAATAATCTATTATCATTTTAAAACATCAAGTTCTGTTAATGTGGTAAATATAATTGTGTATTAATTATATATTCAAAATGACCCATTTTACAATTTTTTATACCTATCCTTTTTACAGAAAAAAAATATTATTTTTTACAGCTTTCACTTGAAAATTAAACTAAAGCATACCATGTCATGTAAATTTTGGGAAATCAGATAGGAAACTGAAAGCTGCTAAAACTTTCATTTTGTTATTTTATTTTTATTTCATTTTATTTATTTTATTCTAGTAACTGTTACTTTGCTTTCAAAAACTGTATTTACAAAAATATCCCTAACATGTTGATATTTGCGCATACTTATACAAAAATAAACATACATAAGTTTTTGCTTTATGTCCTCGAGTTCATCAAACTCAATTTTTTTTTCCTTTATGCTCTCAGCACTTTTCTGTAGCAAATCATGATGTCCTGTTTCAATGATGTCATCACTAGGTTTCAACTGGTCCCATCGAGCTTTAAATTTTTCCAGTTCTTGAAGGTAGTTATTAACACGGGATTTCACATTGCCTTTCATCACATCGATCTGAAGACCAAAGTGTATGTAAAACAGAAAAATAATAATAAAAAAAAGATTACTGTATTACTTTTCTTAGTTTATTCTAGAAGCAGCTGTGTATTAACAGGAATACTACAAAAAGTAATAATGATTAACATTGTTCCAACTGTGGTTTACCTAATATTTCATACTATTAGTTTTTATGCTCTTGTTTCAAATTAGCAATGTTGTATTTAATACTTTCCTTAAAAAGAATGAAAGGAACCTTGAAACTGAAGATACAATCCAAATCTTGCCATCACCACTTCAAAGTGGAGGCCTTACAGATTCAAACAAATCCCAGATTCTGGAAAGCAGTGCCAGTAACAACCATGTCTTGACTTTGGAATTAATCACAATAGGGAGTTCTTTACATATGGGAGTGCATGTTGGAAACTCATAACTTCCTATGGAACATTTTATTTACCAAACTGTATCCTAGGTTTGAAAAGGTATAATAATGGCACAGGGAAATCATTCTCCTCTTTGGAACATAGACAATATCAAGCTTTTATATTCCCAAGTTTGATTCCACAGAAACTTGGATCCAGTGAAAGCATGATCATTAAAAAGGTAATGCAACTTCATATTCAAGAGCAAGCTCCTCACAAATTTATATATTTATTAAATAGATCTGTATCACCACCCAATCAACACATAATTTTGGCGGCTAACTATCATAAAATAATATAGCAATAATTAAAAACTATTAAAGTTATTAATTAAAACTATTAAAAATAACAAACATACGCACGTGGAGGAAAGCCCAACAGACAATGATCATCATAAGACAAATGGGCTTATCCAATACCAGGCCCAATATTTAAGGAAAAGCCAGATCTTTACCACCTTACAAAAGGCTGGGAACTGCTGTAACTATACTGATCTCTAAATGGATATTGCTTAGAAGAAAAACGTTAAGGGTTTTGGTATATTTTAAAGTAAACACTTAAAAAGGGAGGGAGAAAGGGGAGAAAGAAAAGAGGAAGCTAGGGGTTGTTCCTGATGGTCTGCTGCACAGTCTGACAGAGCCCTTAGTTGCCACTTGGAATAAGAAGGCAGCTGTGGCCTTAGATCAGATTGCGCCCATGCAACCTCTCCCTTCCCATCAATCCCGTCACTCTCTGTGGTTTACAGAAGAGCTGAGGGAGATGAAACAGAAGAGATATCTAGAGCATGCTGGAGGTCAACGAAAGATGAACTCAGCCGAACACCGGTGAGAGGCTAACATCTCTCACAGGTAAGGCCTACCTTGTGGCAGGAAGGGCAGCAAAGCAACAATACTTCTCCCCCCTTATTGCATCTGTGGATTGCCACCTGCTGGCCTTGTTCTAGGTAACCCAAGTCCTTCTGGGCAAGGGGGACCTGGAGATTCATCTGCAAGGCCATGTGGAGAATTTTCAGAGCATCTGTCGGGCAAAATCACTTGAATTCATTCCCAGACACCAGCTTTAGTGTAGGGCCTGCTGAGATGTCTGGGGGACAATCTTGCTCTGTTATCTGGGAACCTGTTAGGCCTGAGGAAGTGGATAGGGTCCTTATGACAGTGAGCATGACCACCTGCTCATTAGATCCATGCTCCTCCTGGTTGGCTAAGGCTACCTGGTGGGAAACATGTGAGTGGGTTCTAGAAGTGGTGAATTCATCCTTGGGAGAGAGGGTTGTTTCTTTGCCTCTTAAGGACGGTTCGCCCCCTCCTCAAGAAGCCATCGCTGGATCCCACCATGCTGGACAATTTCCATCCAGTGTCCAACCTCCCTTTTTTGGGGAAGGTTGTGGAGAAGGTGGTCATGCAGCAGCTTCAGTGGGCCCTGGATGAAGCGAATTATCTGGACCCGTTTCAGTCAGGATTCAGGCCTGGACATGGGACAGAAATGGCATTGGTCATGCTTTTGGATGATCTCTGGCGGGAGCGGGATTGGGGTAGTGCATCCACCCTGGTTCTTCTTGACCTCTCAGCAGCTTTCGATACCATCGACCATGTATCCTTCTGGATTGACTCCAGGAATTGGGAGTGGGCAGCACTATATTGTGCTGGTTCTCTTTCTTCCTTTGGGGCTGATACCAGTTGGTGTTGATCAAGAGTGAGAGGTCCCGCCATGGCCCCTACTATGTGGTGTGCTACAGCGTTCGGTGCTTTTTCCATTCCTGCTTAACATCTACATGAAACCTCTTGGGGAGATCATGCATAGCCACTGGGTGAGGTATCATGCTGATGATACTCAACTATACCTCTCCCCTCCTAGTAACCTAAGTGATTGTCAGTCCTCCCAGGTAAACTGGACAGGAAACAAGACTAGATGAACTAATTCTATTTTATTGTAAGGCTACATTAACAGAATCTTGCAAGTCTGAAAACACAAATCTCCCATCTTCCTTATTTACCACCTGAGTAGTTAGGGTGGGTCCTTTCTAAGTTTCTTTCTTTGACCATTACCCTGTTGCAGACTCCTTTCTTTTTTATCTGATCATCCTCTAGGTGGCATCTCTTACCCCCGCCTTCAGTGATGTTGCCGTCGATGTCCTGTCCAAGTGCCTGGAGGCTGAAAGGTCCAAATGGGGAACAACAGGCTTCTGTTGAACCCTGGCAAGACTAAGTGGCTTTGGGTTTTAGGGCCTCCCAAATCTGGGACTTTACATTCTTTGGTACTGGATGGGGTGGCACCAAACAGACCCAGTGTGCAACATGGAAGTCCTCCTGGACTCATGACTCCTGCTCAAGGAGCAGGTGGCAGTCATGGCCAGAAGGACCTTTCCACAACTTTGTGTTCTGCACCAGTTGTGCCCATTCCTGGATTGTGAAGCTCTGCTCACAGTTACTCATGCCCTGCTCATCTCCCAAAGGACTACTGCAATGCACTCTACATGGGGCTACCCTTGAAGAGTATCTGGAAGTTCCAGCTGATGCAAAATGCAGCGGCACGGGCAGTTATCTGTTCCTCTAGAAGGACACATGTTATACCTCTGCTCAGTGAGCTGCATTGGTTACCAGTTTGATTCCGGGTCCAAATCAAAGTGCTGGTTTTAACCTATAAAGCCCTACATAGCATGGGGCCAGGTTATCTGAGGGACCACCTCTCCCTGATTATATCTACCTGTCCCATCAGGTCCAGCAGGAGAGGCATGCTGCAAGTCCCATCCGCTAAAGAATTCTCTCTGACGGGACCTAGGAGACAAGCCTTTTCTGGCACAGCATCCGCCCTTTGGATCATCATCCCCCGAGGTGAGGTTAGCCCCAATCCTTATGGCCTCCTGGATAACTCTCAAAACATGTTTTTTTCATCAGGCCTGGGGATTCTCTGACAGCAGGGCACGCGCACAGTGGCTATATCACATGGAAGATTCTGATTTTGACCCTCTCATGATCTTGGTTTTAATAATTAATTAAATTGTTTTAATTGGTTTTATAATATGCGCAAATTGTTGGTTTTGTTGTACACCACCCAGAGTCACCTTGTGTGAAATGGGCAGCCATATAAATTTGATTAAATGAATAAATAAGGCAGTGAGGATGACAAACCGATATCTGAAAATATGTACATTGTGTTGATACACTTTCCAGAAATGTCACCTATACTGCAACTTCCTATAAATTCACATTTAATTACAAATCACATTTGTAGTGTTTTACACATAATGCATTTTCAATTCTTCTCAGACATCATGCCACTGAAAGATTGCAGCACATGGCTAATTGTATTTACTGATAAATTAAACAAAGAGGGAACCAATCAAATTCTCTCTATTCAAAATCTTGAAATAAAACAGCCAAATCAGAATATACTGGGGCATTTTGAGTGTTCTGTATTCTGACAAACAAAATGTGAACATTTTTATATGTTCCATGTTCCAAATAATCGATCAATCAATAAATAAAAATGCTACAGGAATTCTGCCACTGGAAACAATGGGAACTTTAAGCAAATATCTGTATTCCTCAATTTTCATATATAGATATATAGAAATAGACTGGGAGCCATGCTAAGTGCTACTACCACACATCCAATAGAAAGAATGATCAAATAACTGATTTTAAAAAATAAAATTTCATAGCAGATAATGGCAACAACAGTCAAGCATGCTTTTTGCAAACTTCTCTGCCAAAACAAATACAAACTGATCCCCCCAAAGAAGCAAAACAATGTATTCACTTCAACACAGCATATAAACAACTGCAAAAATATACTTCATTGGTTATAATTTCGTTTCTTCCTACTATACAATGTTAGTGACTTTTGCATCTTCAACCTGCCTTCAGAGAAAGCAATTCTTAACAGCCCAAGCACACATTTGTATTTGCTTTTTTGCCTCAAAAACAAAAGAAAACAATCACAGAAACCACTAATGGACAGTACTACATCACAACTTACTCTATGTTTCCTATAGAAAAGGATATAAAACTGATACAAATTATCTTCCAGATCAGTAGTATCTTTTTCTGAGGTCAGAAATAGTTCATAATTTCTGAACTTGTGTTTAATTAACTTTATTTTTTCTCTACCACTAGAGAAGAAGCTGTGCCTCCTGTTCTGTTACCTACTGCACTCTCCAAACCTTTATGGCTCAGAGGAATTTGTTTAAAAAGTCAATTGCAGAACATCAAAAAACTCAAAATTTTGAATAAAATGCCATTTGGTTTCAAAAATTAAAAAAACTGAATTTTTGAAACCAAACTCTAGAAAACTGGACATTTTGTTTCAAGTTCTGAATACTCAAAATAGCTGTTCTGACCTCAGACTTGTTTACAAACCTTTGCCGTCTCTACATCTTCTACATTAACTCCATTAAAATTAAAAAAGGTAATCCCAAAGAAGATATATTTGAAATGACTCTCAGTTACCTGTTCTTTAATCATCAGTTGATGACTCTCAATCATTAACTCAAATTTATCCCATGTCGCTCTCAGGCTGCCAATTGTTTCAATGCCCCCACCGGCCACAGTTCGGAGAAGCTTGTTTTTACTTTCTGCTTCTTGGAAAAGGATAAAGACCTAAGCAAAGAGATTTGATAAGTGCATAAAGCTCAAATGCATAAATATATTTGTCTGGGTCAATAAATGAATTAACATTACCTTTTATGATTATGCAGTATTTAGAGTGGAAAAGATGCTTCCAAACATCTGGATGTTTATATAGCATGTAGGCAATCCCTCAAACAAACACTTCTTTTCTTGGGATTGAGTTGAAGCTGCAGATGGAAGTCAGATACAGGTAGTCCTTGCTTGATGACCACAATAGGGACCATAAAATTGGTAGTTAGGCAGGACGGTCATTAACCGAGTCACCATGTGACTGGACCAAATTTTACGACCATTCTTATGATGGCTGTAAAGTGAATCATGTGGTTGTTAAGTGAAGCACATGGTTGTTAAGTGAATCCAGATTCCCCAATGGACTTTTTTTTTCCAGAATTCGTCTAATGACCACATGATTCGCTTAATGGCCACATGATTCACTTAACAACTGTGATGATTCGCTTTACAACCAATGTAAAAAAGGTTGTAAATCATTACTGTGGGGGAGTGCAATGTGTTGTGATGGTTGTAAGTGTGAGTTCAGGTCATAAAGCACTTTTTCCGAGGCCATTGTAACTTCAAACCATCATTAAACAAAAGGTCATTAAGCAAGTACTACCTGTATTCCTAAATACTCTAAGGAGCTGCTGACAGTTGTTACATCAATGTCCCATTTTCCCGCAAATACAAAGTTTCCTTTGAAGCTAAAGTGGCCCTATTATTTATTTGTAATGAAAGTATTTTTGATATCAAAAAAATACTTCAGTAAAAAGTAACAGAATGCAAAGCATTCAAAAGAGATGCTTCACCAAGCACATTCATGCAAATTAAGTACCCCTCGTTGAAGTGTTTAAATGAGAACATGCTTTGGAAGGTTTCAAAGACTGCTGCACAGGTATTTGCATGGCAGTCATGTATGTGCATATAGAGCTTGGATTACATGTTAAACTGAGTATCTTCACAGAAGCCAGAGGTGGCATATATTAATTAGTTAAGGTGACAAAGAAGGAAAAGGTAAAGATTCCTCAAGTTTATTTATTATTTATTTATTAAATTTATATTCCTCCCATCTCCCCCAGAGGATGACTCTGGGCGGTTCACAATTAAAATCAAACCTCAAAAACAGATAAAAATATAAATATCAACATTGATTTAGTTTAAAATCAAACTATACAAAAAGAGTTGAGTCTGATTGTTGATAACAATGTGTACATATCAAGTGGGGGGGGGTTGCTATCAGTGTAGAGATGGTTTGCTATTGCCTTGTCCTGAAATATTATTAAATTGCCTACAGTCCTGGAATACCTTGATGATCTCCATTCCAAGGATTAATCAGCCTAATCACAGTCTATGAGAGTGAGTGGCTATTATAAATTTAAAATAGTAATAATAATAACAACAACAACAACAACCCCACTTAACAAATAGGTCCAAACAAGATCAGTGAACTGCTGTCTCCTGTTTAGACACACAGAAGGAAAGCAACCTATCTAATGGTAAGAATTAGAAACATTACAATGTACAGTGGTACCTCGGGTCACAAACTTAATTCGTTCCGCGACCCAAATCAAGTTTTCCCATAAGGCTCAATGTAAATACGGTTAATCCGTTCTGACCCCTACGAATTTGGTCGCCAACTGATTTTGGTCATGACCTGAATCAAATTTTCCCATAAGGTTCAATGTAAATACGGTTAATCCGTTCTGACCCCTACGAATTTGGTCGCCAACTGATTTTGGTCATGACCTGAATCAAATTTTCCCATAAGGTTCAATGTAAATACGGTTAATCCGTTCTGACCCCTACGAATTTGGTCGCCAACTGATTTTGGTCATGACCTGAATCAAATTTTCCCATAAGGTTCAATGTAAATACGGTTAATCCGTTCTGAACCATATGTTTGTTTTTTTTTAAACCACAAAAATATGACACAAAGTACAGTACAGTATACCATGAAGAGAGAGAACACTAACTTTGCTTGAGGCGTGGAGGACAGGAAGGCGGGTGGGGAGGCGGTTATTGTTTGGAGGGAGAACCCCCCTCCCTACAGGAAGCCACGACCACGTGTCAGAGCAGGGAAAATGGCCGCGGATCCTGTTCGTCACCCGATGTGGAGTTCACGAACAGAAGCAAAATTTTGCAAACGGTACTGTTCGTGACCTGAATTGGTCGTGAACAGAAGCGTTCGTGACCCGAGGTACCACTGTAATCTTGAATAGTCAATACTTATTGCAATATGGAAAATTATGCCAATAATGAAATTCACGAAAGGCTATGAAGAAATATTTAACAATTTTTTAGATAATATTTATATTAAAGTTCTGACTCTAGAAACATTTAGTGATCAAATTTCAGTTCATTTCTTGATAGTACAGAAAAACATTACCTCTTCTTTTTTTTCTTTTAAGTTTTTATATTTTAAACTATCTTCTGTTATTTCTTCCACTGTCTGAGGCCTAATTACTAAGGCATTCATAGCATCATTGAGAAATGAAGAAATATCATGCAGATGACCTACATAAACATCAAGAGAAAACACAAGTGATCCAATCATCATCATCATCATCATCATCATCATC